TTTTGAAAGGTGCAGATCACATAACTGCCCTTTAGAAGCTGTCATTTGTCACATGTCATCTCAATATTTCGCCAGACCGGGAGCCCATTCGGTCTCCGGCTTCTATATAACATGTAGCTTCTCCTTTTTTAAAAATTTTTAAAGTGTTTGTTTGTCTTTGTGTATTGTATTGTTATGTCCAAATTTACATGTATGAAATTCTACTCATGTCGTATAGGCCACAACTGACGAAGTAAGTCTATAAACTTTTATCACATAAAAATTTTTTTCAACCATAAACTTGGAGTTTTTTATCCAAGTGAATTAATTTTCCTTTTTTATAAAAAAAACGTTTCTTGGCTTATTTCAGATGCCCCTGAAGATGATCTATTGATCGAAAGTACTTGGGCAAGATTTAATTAATTACTGTGTTCGATAGTTGCCTTGTATACCATCAAAGCATAATTAATTGTTATCAATGTAACTCCTTATAGGTATTACCTATTTTCGGTGGGTTCAAAAATCTTCTAGTTGTCCTTTGTCGGAATAGAGAAGAAGGATAATAATACAAAAAAATAGTATGTTACAAAAAATATAAGTATTCTTTATTTTATTTTAAGAAGAATAAAAAAAAACAATTATCAAAATTTTGCCGTTATCTTATCAATCAGCATACCAGAAACATAATAAAACTTTTACAATCAGAATATTTTAAATCTTCTTAAAATTAATGCCAATTGAAAACCAATTTCAATGAAAATCTTTACTTTACTTCCAAAATCAAAACTTTAAACTTTTGATTAATCAAACAGAAATCTACTCCTTAAATTTGAATGGTAATAACAATGATGTCAACATAAATCCTTCACAGATACAAAAATTTTAATTGTGAAACAAAACTCACTGACCTTTCCTTCGTTGGTTGTATTTTCGACCATCCCCAGAATCTTCCACGCTCCACAGAGATGTAATCTGCCACTATTCGCCTCGGCTTCCTTTCTTTCGTATCTGCAATCCTTCTGCAGACTGCACGAAACACCTGACTTATTTCTTCAACTATTAACACTCGAAATCTTATTCTCCAAAACAATCAGCTACTTCTCAATGACACAAGGAACTCTTTTTGTCAACTTGATGCCAGAAAACTATTTGATACGTATTTCAGAAAACTTTCTCCAACTATTAACACTCGAAATTCAATTCGCCAACACAATCAGCTACTTCTCAATGACACAAGGACCTCTTTTTGTCAACTTGGTGCCAGAAAACTATTTGATACGTATTTTAGAACACTGCCTAATTTAGATCCAAGGACACCTTTTCATCGATTTGAAATCTCCTTCCACAATTCTGCTAACTTCCTTTTACAATGCCGGTATACAAACTCACAAACACACCCTCTGTAGAGGCGCGACTTTTCTTCTCGATGACCAAATTACAACTGCCTTCTCCGGTTCTCCTTATCGGCTCACAAATTCCCATTCAAAAACGACCGTCCAATCAAAAGCTCAAATTGTGTTTACCATGATTTTGGAAAAGCCTTATTTATGTTTCAGAGAAAAAACTAAATAGCTTACTTTAAAATTGGTTTTGTCTTCGGTTGTAAATACACAATTTATACATATTTCAAAAGATTAGAATATGGTCATTTAATACTAGTTACAGGTAATGATGCTTTTCTAATTCTACACAAAGTGGTTTGTCTACAATTTGTTGGGAATGGTCAAGGTCGTAGGCCAGCAAAAATTTCTATTCTAATCTACATTAAATCTTATCTTAAAATAATACATAAATTTTGTTTATCACGACATCTTGAAAAATTTATTTCGATGGACTTTTCATTCATTTTTATTATCTTTTTTTTTTTTGGTTGGGAAAAAAGAAATAAGACAATATATACAGTGTGGAAACCATTTATGGAATAAAATTGTTTGTGTCCTTATTATAGAAAATAATAAAATACTCTGGGACAAGTTTACTTTCCAATTTAAATGTGCGCTTTTTAAACACAAATTTAAATGTACAGGGTGATCCACGCAATCTGGCATAGTCCATAATCCTTATTTTTAATAAAACACCCTGTATATTTTTATATTTTTAAAAGATTCTTAACAACCTTATTTCAACTAACTATATCATGTAGGGTCTATAATGTACCGTGTTAACATTTTTTGTCACGAATAGATAAAAACTGTCTAGATAGTCTGCTAATTAAACTAAATCGGTAAATAATGCGGATTGTAATCAATCAGTTGTTGGTGTGTTGACATTTTACATTAAAATAATAAATTCCTAATTAAAGCTAATTTCTTGCATAAATAAGAATTAAATATTTAAACTGAGACCCACCGACTTGAGATTTTAGTGATGATCGATTACGGGGAGAATTGTAGAAGTCAAGTTGAAGTAGTAAACTTATTTAATCAGCGGTATCCTTATCTATCTATAGCCCAAAATCTATTCATGTGTTGAATATAGGCCTCTCCCATTTGTCTCCATTTGTCTCTGTCTTTTGTTTGTCTTTTCCACATTGGACCTGCGCTTTGCTCAATGTCATCTTTCCATCTCATTTGCGGTGGACCTCTTGACCTTTTTGCAGTATATGGTCTCCAGCGACCAATTTTCTTTATTCCATCTTCCATCCTGATATCTTTCGTTATGCCCAGCCCATTTCCATTTTAATTTCAATGCATGTTCGACAGCGTCTGTTGTTTCGGTTTTGCATTTTATTCACTCGTTTTTCTTTTTATCTTTCAACGATATTCCCAACATTTGTCTTTTCGTAGCTCTTTGAGTTTTTTTATTCTATCTAAGTTGCTCTTGGTACACGTCCACATCTGGGCGCCATATGTCAGAACAGGTAGGACGCATGCATTAAATACCTTCGTTGTTAATTTTAAAAGTATTTTTTGGTTTTTGATAGTATATGGGAGTTTTCCGAATGCAGCCCACCTCATTCTTATTCTTCTGGTTATTTCTTTAGTCTGGTTACTTTGGTCTGCTCTGATAGCTTGTCCTATGTAAATACATTCTTGAACGTGTTCTATGTTTGTTCCACCTATGGTAATTACTGATCTGTCTTCTGTATCAGAGTATCCGTATTCTGTACAGAGGTATCCTTGGTTGCCTAATATTTCACAAGGTACTGCGTCTAAATTTATGCACAATTCAGAGAACTTGGACATGTCAAACCCTTAAAAAGAAATCCGAACTTCAATAAAGATCAGGTGAAAGTAGATATTTTGTTAAGTGTCGCAGAGAATCCAACTTCAAGTTCACGTCAAATTGCATGTCAAAATAATGTGAGTCACATAACTGTCGCAAGGTGTCTCCATGAATAAAAACGTCATCTATATAAATTGACTTTCGTGCAGTAACTAATATCACAATTGTTCTTTAAGCCATTGTTCTTTAAGCCATTGTAGAAAAATTTCCCTAATAATATAAGCTAATTTTTCACCCATAATTACTGTTGCACCAGGTGGCACACCTTCTTCAAGTTTCACTTCTTGGTTTTTGCCTTTAAAAATGCACAGCTGTTGTACAAAAGACCCCTCAGCGTTAGAGCTTACGATTACTCAGACTGTTTTTCTCCTTTTTTATTTATCCAGTTCAAGGAAATAGTTTCCATATCAGGATATTTTCAAGTACCTAGAGTGAAATAAGCAGAAACAGTTTTGTTCATTCCTAAAGCTCTGGCTCTGGCCGGTCAGATAGCCAAGCGGCCGATTCTCATTCGCTTCACTGTCAAATTGTTAAGTGGATGTCGGTTCAAGCCCTGGCTCGGTGTACAGAAAAATAAAAAAAAGGCTAACGCAACAGTTTAAAATTCTAACCTGGTATTTGAAAATGTCTACTAGCTTCGTTTACACCTATTTTTCCATTTTCAATTATTGTAATTGCTTGCATAAGCTGCTCCTGCGACCACTTGTCGCAGGAAAAAATACTAAAAAAAAATTCACTTGCAAAAAGAAGTTCAAAAACCATTTACCAGCATGCGCCATTTTTCCTACAGTAATCAACAGCCTACTCACCTAAAATTATAAGGAGAGATGGCTCAATCGTTTTTCCTGAATACTGAGAAATAATAAACTATATTCACATGGTTCAGGAAGAAATAAATATTTTTATTTTAAAATGTGGAAACCTTAATTAGATCTACAATACCATCGATTGATGTATACATGAGGTTTGTGACATCATTACGGTCGACGTAACATCATTACAATAGAAAATACTAAATGGATCATGGGTATGAAGGTTAGAACAAACGTAAGGCTTTTTTATCCTAAATTCAACGGTGTATCATAACGAGAATAATAATATTATATTATTATATAATATATATATATATATATTAATATATATATATATATAGCGAGTGTTGCAACTTTAATTTTGTCGCTTCTCGCATCCCAATCGCCATAATTTCTTATCGGCCCAGTCTCCTTCTTGAAGACCTCTATTTTCCATTTCTATATGAATATTAAATATCCATTTCTTCTTGGCCTTCCCCTTTTATTTCTCTGTGTAGGTCTCCAGTTCCAACCTTTCGTGGTATCCTTTCTTCGTTCATCCGTCTCAGGTGTCCATACCATTTTAATTGTTTTTCGGCTAATAATATTATACTTATTTAAATACAAATACTTATTTAAAGGAATACCTTTATTGTGGTCCGCCCTTGAATTTGAGATAAAAGAGCTTTTCATCTGACGTAACCGTCACCCTCATAATTCATTTAATTTTATCCATTGTAACGACATCACAGCGTTGGTAATGGCGTTACAGATCTCATGTATACATAATTAAAAATATTGTATGTCTAATTACAATTTCCAATTTTCAAATAAAAATATTGATCACTTCTTAAATTAAAGGTTGTTAAAAACATCTTGGAAGATGTTTTAGACAGATGACGTGGCATCATCGCAAATAATATATTTCAAAAAATACATATTAAATTAAAGTTTGAAAAGCGTGTATTATTTTTTACAATTGTTAACCTCCTTTTTCAATTTCAGCTCTTCCTTATATTACTGGGCTCATTACGATTTCTTCAATAATACAAAACTGGGAGAAGCTGTGCCAGGAAGACAATGTGATGAGATATTTTCTTCTTGGAAACTAGTTAAAGGTTGGCTGAGATCACCGCTAAATACATTAGTTTATAAAACACCTCAAACCAGTGAAGATGTTAGTTGCTTGTATAGATTTGTTACGGACAAGAGATTATTCGCAAGAGTTATATTAACCATCAACAATGTATATTTTAAAGTAAGTTTTAGTTGTACTTTCCATAAGTTGTACTTAACATCCAAAAACATGTATATGGTGCATTAGTACAGTTTCGAGTAAGGTGCAATCATCTTGTTCTTATGGTGCAATCTTTCTGCGGAGATAAGCAATCATTACAACTATGTTTACCTTTGATGTTGCCGCAAAATGATACTGTTTAATTAAGGTGTAGCCAAACCATTCAAGGAGGTTTCTTAACCATGACATTCTTCCTCTTCCTCTCGAACTGTTTTCTACATGAGGTTTAATATTTGCTCATTAGTTTGACCGTTTAGTCCAATAAATCTTCAACAAGCGTCTATACCTCTTGACTTTTTGCAAAGTTGTTACTCTAACATCACCCCATGCTGAAGCTATCCAGTACGACACATCCTTAACGGTGATCATTTTAAGGGTTCCTGCCTCAGTCATACCTCTTCCAACCAGGTTAACAACACTTGAAGAAGCCTTTGACGATAGTTTCGTTTTATAACATCTAAAACTCCTTGGTTTAGAGTTTTAATGAGGTATGTGACGTTTGGCAGCAAGAAAACAGCTTTAATATAACCGGTAGTCATCAAACTTGCATCTGGATGAGATGGCGTGTTGTCCAAAAGAAGAATAGCTTTTTTTGCTAGCTTTTTTTTAAGTGGCCTCAACAAAGCAAACGAACTCATCAAAAAAAATCTTTAAAAATTTGGCAATCCATCCACGCACTTCGTACTTTTAAAAGCCCTTGGAAAATTTTCCTATATAGAGTTCTTAATTTTAATGATCCAGAAAAATTGCTACATATCAAAACAGTTACTCGTTCTTTGCTTTTTTTGTATCCAGGCGCAGCTTTTTCACTTTGGGCTGCCCGTGTTTTGGTTGAAAGCATTCTGAAATCGAGACCCGTTTCGTCACAATTGAAGATTGAGTCTGACGTGAGGCCATGCTCTAAAATGAGTTCTCTCAATTTTAAATTAAACGGCTCAGTTTCAGATGAATCGGCCCAAAATGTTTCACCGAAATGTTTAGTTGTCAGATGCCACACCACCTCTTCTTCCATCTATCTAGCCAGAAACGTAAAATTTCCTCGCCATCCTTAAACCGTTTGTGAAACTCGATAGACTTAGCTTGAAGCATGGGATCATAATTGGACTTTCCAACCATCGAAAATTAGAAGAATATAAAAATAAGGCTTCAGAAGTCTGTTGTATTGTCCTTTCTTCATAGTTTTCCGCAACAAATCACTTTCATCACTAACACTTTTATTAACCCATAGTTCAATATATTTTCGTTTACGTCTCCAATCTCTCATAGTCACTTTTCCAACACCTACATCAACAACAACCTTCTTTACTGACTCACCCTTATCCAAGCGTTCTAGAGCACTTAATTTTATATCTAAAAAAACTACAACTCGTTTACGTTTTAAACTCATATTGCACTTCAAATTAGGTAGAAACTACACAAAGAAAAGACATGAATGAAGACATGAATGAACTTGTAAGAGCTTACAGTGGGTCGAACTGAACAGCTAGCTGCGATAACTCAAGAGTGGCGGGTGGGTGGGGGAAGAGGCCAGTAGAAGCATAGTGGCTAAACAATAACAATAGCTAGCGACTTCTTCTATATACCAATAGCTAACGCTTATGCTTTCATTTGAACTCGCTCTCCAAGCTAATCTATTACATAATTTTTTCTTTTCAATTACTATCTCAGTTAATCCAGAGGCTCGGTTAGTCGGGACTTGGATAATCGCGAGTCTACTGTAAATACTGATTTAAGCCAGTTGCTTGGGATGATTTCTATGGTGTATTCCTATATAGTATTAAAAAAGTTAGCTAATATATGAAGGTTTTTTAGTATCAATTAATTTAAGACATATCATTTATTACATAAGATGTTATTACATGAGATGTTGGTTCAACTATTTAACAAATGCTTAAAAGGACAAAATATCCCTGACGATTTTAATATTGGATACATCAGCTCAATATTCAAGAAAGGGGATTAACGCAAACGCTCTAATTATAGGGGAATAACTGTTATCAGCCCAGTGGGAGGTTGTATGGTCTAATAATAAAAGAAAGAATAGAATCAGAATACGAAGACATAGAAGAACAAAATGGATTTCGTTCAGGAAGATCGTGCACTGATGGTATATTCGTTCTGCAGCAGTTAATCGAAAAACGGAAAGCAAGGAATCTATCTACCCACCTATTGTTTGTAGATTTAGAGAAGGCATACGATACGGTACCTTTTAAAAAACTTTCAAATATTGACGAAAGTAGGTCTCAGTAGAGAGTATGTGAATGCTATCGCAAATATATACAAAAATGTAAGAAGTGTCGTTTAAGAAAGAAACTTTATATCTGAATCATTTCCAATAACAAAGGAGCTTAAACAAGGATGTTGTCTATCTCCGACCTTATTTAAAATATATATTCAATCATCACTAGAGCAGTGGAGAAAACAAGTATCCGAAATGGGAATAGACATAGGCAGTGGTAAATGTCTAACAACTTTATTTTTCGCAGATGATCAGGTAGTCGTAGCGAATGATGAGGAAGACATGGACTACATGTTTAGAAAACTAAAGAAAGAATATGAAAAATGGGGCTTCAATATAAATATGTCAAAGGCAAAATGTCTTAAAATAGGAGATGATGAAGAAGATCCAGAGTTAGAAATTCGAAACATAAAAACATGCAATAAATATAAATATCTCGGATCTATCATATCTAAAGAAGGCACTACCAAAAGAGACATCAAAAACAGAACGCAGCACGAAAAAAAGCGGTTAACATTATAAACTCTCTACTATGGTCTAAGGATATTGGACAAGAAACGACATTGACAATCTATCGAATCTTGGTAGAGCCTATTACGACTTATGGGCAGAAGTTCGACAGATTACAAAAAAAGATAGAAAAAGTAGGAGATGTGTGGTGTATCCAAAAAAGATCATATCGGAATGAAGTATAAGAAGGAGGACAAATCTGTATATTCCAGTGTAGACAGAATTGAAACGAGACAACTAGTGTGGTATGGTCACGTGAACGAATAAATGAAGATAGATGGCCAAAAAAAGCTTTTTAAATTACATACCACAACAAGAAAGAAGAAGAGGAAGGCCTTTAGTTGCCTGGGAAGAAAATATACGACACCTAATGAGAGATATAGCCAACAAAGAATGGATGGACATAGAACGATGGCTTTTGAAATCTCAATAACATATTTAATTTCTCTAGTTATAATATCTGGTTCATGAGAGTTTGTCGAGGAATTGTGCCGTACGCCTTCTCAAGATCTATAAATACCAAATATAGCTAGGTCTCTTTTCTTCTCTCCGCATATCTGTCTAATTATAAAACGTATTACTTTTCTGTGATATAAACTTACAAATAATATTAAAATTATATCATTTTTTTATTCTAGGAATCTCCATACAATCATGGACCATGCACGAACTGTTTAGAAGACCGCGTCGACAAACTAGTGATCTGGGAACCCCTACTACCAGGCGCTAACTCTACTCACCCTCCAATTTCTCTTAACAAAGCAGCGCAGAATGGTGATGTTACTTGTATATGTAATCGACAAGCCTTCTCTACGCAAATCATATCCAAAGGAGAACAACTCAATTTACAAATGATCGTTGATAGCACACACAGTGCTTTAAGTTACTTTAAACATTCTGCTTCACTTTTTGAAGCGACATATGAATTTGTTCATGGTCCTCTTTGTGGACCAGCCATTATTCAACCCATTACTGATGGCGAAATCCATTATCCTTATTATGAAGCTATTGGTTATGTGGAACCACCGAAATCAATAAGGTAAATATTTTAAATTTAAATATTTTAATAATCATTTACAATAGGCAGTAAAATAATGAGGAGCAACAACAAAATCAATCATTGTTTATTAGACTGCAATCTAGGAATAAATGTTCCTCCTCCCTATTAACATATTTATTTTTAGATTTTTAGCATGTAAGAAAAACGCCGGGACAAGTCGATTTTTAACATAATCGTAATATATTATAGCATTTATGTTTCGAACTTTACGCTATCCATCTTCAGGTGGCAGTCGTAACTTTGATTTTTCTTAATGAATAGTAATTATATCATACCTTTAATTACTATTTAACTGGGAATAAGCCACAATTAAAGATAAAAATACGTTTACTTACCATCTTCTCTCTTTCTCTAGTCAAAATTTCCTTATGACTCACTATGTTTTCTTTTTCTAAACAAAATCATTAAATTCTTTGGTCAAAAAACTCCTAACGACATTTCATTGTTTTCAAGTTAAATAGACAACTTTCATTTTTACACAATTCACATTACCTGGAAACTGGAGTTCAATTTTATGTACAAATTCTTACTTCCCAAGTCTAAGTAACTTGTAACGTTATAAACGTCACATTTTTATTAATTTATATTTAAATAATTATTTTATTTTAATTTCTTTATTAATTCCTTAACCTAAAGTTTCTTTTTTACTATTTTTTATTCAAAAAAATAGTTGGCGCCCTCTGTCTTTCTTTTTTTTTCTCTGTCTTTCCAGTAAAATAAATATTTTGGCTTCCTCTGTCTATCCAGTAGATTGAATATTCTGTTCTATGTTGACAGAAAAGCTAACTTCATCATAGGCATCCATCCTATGACGTCTGTGTTAACTTTCCGTCAATCAGGTTTTCTGACATAGTAGGATATGTTTTTGGTCTATAATTAAAATTTATAAAAGAAGGCAAAAATGTTGCTTCATTTTATGGTCTGCAGAATTCTCTTGGGCTTATTGGCTGCATAATGAAGAATTTATTAGCCGAATTTAAGGTTTATTGGCTGTCTAGAAGACTTTATTAGAGAATATTGTATAAAATATGAAATAAAATGCTCTGGAGGATCTAACTTCAGCTGTCAGGAGGGCCTAATTACCTAACTGGGAGACCGCAGACAATTGGTAATAAGCATCTCATCGATGCCATGATACCATAAGTGTCGTCCAAATTTTATTTACTGCAAAGCATTGGCAGGGTTGTTGTTTTTTGCTACTTAAATATTACTTTTTATTTTAAATAAATATGTCTAGTTAAACAATTGATTTATTTGCTATCAGCTAAGGGTTTATGGTGTGATTCCTAGTTTAACAGGATTTAAGACGAACTCCGTACTTGAAATACTGAGCTAAGTGAAGCATAAACCATAAGCTACCATGATTGATTGAGGTATTATTTTATAATAGTATTTCAATTCTCTTTGGTAGTCTTATCGTTACAAACTAAGTTAGAAAAAATGATTAGATATACGAATACTTCTTAGTGTCCGAATATTAGAAAAACCCAATCACAGTTTCATTGTCTTGTATTGTTCCAATTTTTATACTTTGTTTATTTGAGGACATACTTTCCCTACAGTAATTATATATTCTTAATCTAAAGAAACATAATATATCTGTATATTCAAATTCTTAAACGATTCATTATAATTTATATATTTATATATAATTTTCAATCATATATAATAATTTTTAGATGTATATGGGAAATTAAAGTAAATCGAGAACGAGATTTCTGGTTACACTTCGATCAAATCAAGTTTTCATCAAAATCCTGTGACGACGGCATCGTGGACATCTTCCTTAAAGGTCGCTTAGATCCGTACCTCTCTGTATGTGGTGAAAATGTTTCGTTAGCGAAAGAACTACCAATCCTATCTTCGGCGGAACTTAGTCCTGACGGAACTGATCCAAGTATCACGATTCAGTTTATAGGTAAGGAAGTTTTATATTTTATAAGTATAGTTAGATGTAAGGCCTTTTATATATTTTATATAGCCTCGGTAAAATTACTATGGCAGTTTTCACTACGTTATTATTTATCGCAAAATCACCGTGAAAGTGCGTTTGAGCGTATCATCTGATGCCAGAAATTTTTCAAAGGTATATATATATATATATAAATATATATATTTAATATATATATATTATATATATATATATATATATATTATAGCGAGTCGCACAACTTTAATTTTGTCGCTTCTCGCATCCCAATCGCCATAATTTCTTATCGGCCCAGTCTCCTTCTTGAAGACCTCTATTTTCCATTTCTATATGAATATTGGATATCCATTTCTTTCTTGGCCTTCCCCTTTTATTTCTCTGTGTAGGTCTCCAGTTCCAAACCTTTCGTGGTATCCTTTCTTCGTTCATCCGTCTCAGGTGTCCATACCATTTTAATTGTTTTTCGGCTATCGTATCCATTATTGTGTTCTTTACTTTCATTCTCTCTCTTATGTTTTCATTTCTTATGTGGTCAAACAAAGTTAACCCGGAACATCTTCTCCAGTACATCATTTCCGTTGAGAGGAGTTTTTGTGACATATTCTTGTTAAAGACCCACACTTCTGACCCATACGTCAGCACCGGCTGAATCATAGCCTGATATATATTTTTCTTTGTTTTCTTAGTTAAAGTTTTATTCCACAGGATCGGATGTAGTGTTTTTATCATGTTTTTTCCTTTTCCTATTTTTCTTGTTATATCTTTGTCGTCTCTCCCGTCTTCGCTTAGTGTAACTCCGAGATATTCGTACTGATCAACGTTTTTAATTAATCCGCTTTCTGTTTCCATGTCTTGACCGATGCCTCCTATATTCATGTATTGTGTCTTTTCGGTATTAACCTCTAATCCCCATTTTTTGAATTCGTCTATTAGTTTGTTTATCATGTACGTCATATCTTGTAGGTCCTCGGCAAGAACTACCTGGTCGTCTGCGAAGAGGATTGTGTATATAGGAGTGTCATTTACCCATATGCCCATTGGGCTGCATTTTCTCATCCAATATTTTAAAGCATTACCAAGATATATTTTAAATAGGGTTGGGGAGAGGCAAGAGCCCTGTTTGACACCCTTTGTTTGGGTGAAACCCTTGGAAATTTGGTTTCCAACCTTAATATAAGCTTGGTTATCTTGATATAGCTTTTTCACGGCATTTATATATACTGCATTTATACCTGCGTTTTCCAATGTTGTCCATAGTCTCTGCAGTGGTACGGAGTCAAACGCTTTACGGAGATCTATAAAAGTGGCATGAAGTTCTAGTCCTCTTGCTAATCTCTTTTCTATTAGATGTTTGAGAGTAAATACATTGTCGACACAAGATCTCCCTGGTCGGAATCCACTTTGTTCTTCGATCTCTGTGGCTTCTTTTTCTATTCTGGCTTTCAGAACTCTTTCATACAGTTTGCCAGTGGATGACGTAATGCTGATACCTCGGTAATTACTGCAGTCATTCCTGTTTCCCTTTTTGTAGATGGAGTTTATGTACGAGACTTTCCAATCTCTTGGGATACTTTCTCCTTGTAGGCACTTGTTAAACATTTTACAAAGCAATTCTAATGTTATTGCAGTGGCATGTTTGAATAACTCGATAGGTAAATCACCCGGCCCAGGAGCTTTATTATTTTTCATTTTTTGTAATGCGTTTTTTATTTCTTCTACGGTAATCATCGCCACTTCATTTAACCCCGTTTCAACTCTATCTATATGTGTGTCTAGAAACTGTGTACGTTGTTCATTTAATAGATTTTCGTAATAATTTTTCCATCTTTCTATGTCTATGGGGTTTATTTTTTTTGTTTCGTTTGTATTTTTTCTAAGACTGTTGATAGTTTTCCAAGCTTGTCTGGACCTAGATCCTCCTACCATTGAGCTTATTTCTGCACACTTGTTGTCCCAGGTTATGTTTTTTGTTTTTTTTAATTTCCTTTTTTACTATATATTTGTATCTGTTATAGTTCTTTCGGTCTTCCTCATCTTTTGTCGCTAACCATTTGAGATACAGTTTTTTCTTTTCTTCTACCAGTTCTAATAAACCTTCTGTCCACCAATAATTTCTACGTTTTACTTTTTCTTTCGTACCTAGAGCTTCTAATGCTGCTTCATGAATTTTGATTTTCAAAGTCTCATACATTTCTTCCGCTGTTCCGTTTATTTCTTCGTCTAATTTTTGTGCCAAACGTAGTTTATAAAGAAAACTTGTGGACTCATTTTTTAAGCTGTCTATGTTATAGAGCCGTATGGATTCTTTGTTTGTCTGTTCTTGGGATTTATTTTGTTTAATATATCTTATTTCCACGGGTGCCTTTACTAGTAGGTGATCCGATCCACATTCTGCCCCTCTCCAAACTTTTACATCGTAGGGTCTTAAAGATTGTCTCTTGTTTAACTGCTATATAGTCTATAATTGACTGCAGTTTTCTTGTCTTTTGAGTCCATGTATATTTATTTATGTCTCTATGTTTGTAAAATCCATTCAGTATTTTTAACGAATGTTGTTCGCATACCTCCAACCATCTTGTTCCGTTCTCATTTACTACATCTTCTCCGTGTTGTCCAATTATTTTGTTGTCAAGAGCTTTACCTACTCTTCCGTTCAGGTCCCCTAGCAGGACTATTTCTTGTCTTTTTTTTATTTTATTTAACTCTTCTGAGAGTTTGTCGAAGAACATGTCTTTAGTGTTTGTATCTGAGTCTTCCGTGGGTGCATAGATGCCAATTATTTTTATGTTCTCCTTTGTTGTAAGGTCTACTGTTATAATTCTTTCGTCTATCGGGTTCCAGTTGGTAATACATTTTTCCATGTTTTTTCTTATCACGACCGCTACTCCAGCTTTGGCTCTTTTTGATTTTTTCTACTCCGCTCCAGAAGTATATATAATCGTCTTTGTAGTGGTTCCCCTGTCCTTTCTTTTTTGTTTCGCTGAGTACTGCGATGTCAATTCGGTATGTACTGAGTTCCTTAAATACTTGGTCTTCTTTTGTATTCAGTCCTTGTATGTTCCATCCAAAACATCCAAAATTCGTTAGCCTTTTTCTTTGCCTATGTCGTTTTCCGTTGAAGCTATCCGAGTTCCGAGGCTGTTCTTTGGGATTTTTAGCAATATTTCTTTTACGCAAGGCGGGGAGCTAACCTACCGCTGTAACCCTCCTCCTTCATCCGGGCTTGGGACCGGCACTGGCATTTACTGAGCTACTCAATCCACCCAGTATCTACCAGAGGCGAAGTTTTATATATAGACCTTCAAAGGTCTATATATAAAATCCAAATTGATTTGACTTTAAAATAGAATATGTGGTTATTTAGTAATTAAACCAATTGATTATACGATGGAATATAGACTCTCATTTTTCGGTGGGGCTCATTTATTGTCTTCTAACGGTAGATACGTTCCACAGACAAGCGCATATAAAAAATTGTCTAAAAAACACATTGCTTGTCTTGAAAAAGTAGGGACCCGTCCCGTAGCCTTCTAACATTGCATAAAACCAAGACAAAAACAAACAAGATTGCAGAAATTAAAGAATAGGCTGCATAATAAATTACTTTGAATATCTGAAAGAAATTCCTACAAAAGCCTAAAAAACTGGTCCATATTTCTATTCGTTTTGTGACTATTTATATTTATTCATATTGTGTCGATAAACAGGAAAACAGGGGAACCTGTTTGGTTTACTAGTATGGTTGTTGAAAGTAAACTAATTATTTATAAACAAACTAGTCTGCAGGTGGATGTTTTTCAAAGCTGTCTTGTTCTAAAACTGTTTTAAAATACCGTAAAACGGGGTGACTTTGTTAATTTTTTTCGTATTTTCTAAAAAATAAAACTATACGAGACTCACTTGAAATCTTTCAATCCGAAAATCATGCTGCGTATTATATTGCAACTTGGAATCAGCAAAATTTTAAACAATTTATTATAAAGCAAGCACCGCTTAGAGAAAACTTATTTAAAAATAATAACAGGTTAGGGTAAAAGATGGATCGTCGGGTGAGGTGACTCGGTCGAATATATCACAGTTTTATCCTATTTATTTATCCACTAGTTGCACTGTGTTATTTGGTGCGTGTGTATTAGCAATACTCTGTCGTTTCCGTGCTTTTCCCAAGTTGAAAGGTAAGGAAAGATATTTAGAAATTCTTATTTACATCTTATTAAAACTTTTTTCAGTGATCTAGTGTCAAAACTATTGTGTACTTATTTTTGTCTGTATTTTATCGAAGTCACGTCTTGATGGCGTGTTGTTTGTATCATTGAGGTTATCTAGGCATAGTTGCCAGTCCTTTCAAATATTATCAACACACGGAAATTAAGTGAACCATCTCACCCTGACAATTCGGGTTAGTTGGCTCGCAAATATTAGGGAGGTATGGCCTAGCTCTTTAGTTACTTAGATAAATTTATTTTTAGCCATGCCAATGAAGTAATATAGAAAAGAACGTGGTTTATGAACTGAAAATCAACTCGAATCAGCCATACATGCCGTAAAAAGTGGACAAATGAGGTCAATGCTACCGCCAGGAATTTTTAAGTTCCAGCACCTACATTAAGAAGAAGAATGAAAAGTAACAATTTTAAAAAAATGCATTAGGAGCAAGTAGTGTTCTCGGCGAATAAAATGAAAATCATATCCTAAAGTTGCAGAAAGCGTGTTTTGCACCTATAAGAGCTAGAGTTAGAGAAATGGCATTCAAATTAGCGGAAAACTACATATTAAAACTACTTTCAACAAGGCAAACAAACTTGCAGGTTTTGACTGGTTACAATCATTCTTAAGAAGAAACCCTGACTTGAGTATAAGAAAATCGGAAGGCGTACCCTTAGCAAGAAGTCGAGGCATGAACAAAAAGGATGTAAGCGAATACTTTGATCTGTTAGGGCAAGTTATTCTAGAAAATGAGTTGATGAAGAAGCCCGGGAGTTTATTTA